TTTGTAACAACCCTCTGTTTTCTTCCATCCAGCCACTCTTCTATCCAAGTTGCTAACTTATCCCCCACACCTATAGAGAATTTTTGTACAAACCTTTTATGTGGCACTTTGTCAAATGCTTTCTGAAAAATCCAGATACACCAAATCTATACCCTTACCCTCATCTACTTAAACATTAATAACCTTTGCAAAGAATTTCAAAAGATTTGTAAGGCAAGATTTTCCCTTAGTGAAACCATGTTGACTATCCAATAAAATTCTAAACTTTGTTAAATGACTTTGCAAAGCATCTTTTAACAGACTTCACAATACTTTTTCCCACAACTGATGTGAGACTAATGGGTATATAATTACTGAGACAATTTTTATCACCTCCCTTGAAAGAGGAGTTACATTAGCTAACTTCGAATCCTCTGGTACCTGCCCACTATTCAAAGACTGACAAAAAATAGTAGTAAGTAGCTCACATATCCAGTCTTTAACCTTCTTCAAAACCTTGGGGAGATATTATCTGGCTCAGGAGCCTTATCGTTTTTTAAACTTCCCAGTGTTTTCTTAACCAACTCGGAATTAATGTAGTCATCTTGTTTTATCTCATTTCCATTTATCAATCACTTCGCTGTGTGTGTGAGATCTGGAATTATTTTCAAATTATTGGTCTAAGTCGGCGATCCTAACATTGCTGGAGGCTTGTTTAAAGTTGTGTAAAAACTTTGTTTATTGTTAAGCACAAAGTCCACAATGGGCTATCTGTACTCTGCGGGTATTGAAAACCGATTCTTTAGCGTTATAAGCACTGAACTTAGCTGTTGTACCACCGGGGGGTGGGGGTATGTAAGAACTTCTACCAGAAGAGTGATAATTACTGACTGTAACTTGTCAGTATATAGCAGACTCTCATTTTCATATCGATCGATTGCAATTTCATCGCCAGCGTAATAAATGCCTATTTTGTAGGTCTTGGAATAAAGTCCTTGACTCCAGTGGTTTTCAAAGTGTGATCCGCTGGCTGGTCCAAAATGCCAGTCACTGACGAGCAATGACACGGCCCAGGCCATACGAGAGAACATAAGAGGTGTGGTAGGAGCAGTAGGTGGTTCGCGGGGTGTTTTGATCCGTCGAAGTGGTCTGCTGATGACAAAGTTTAAGGACACTGCTTGAATCACCACTTAAATACTATAAGGAGTAGCGACTGAAACAATGGATTAGGACTGTTTGTCATTAACGGATTCTTTCTTTTTTTTTCATGGAAATTACACGTTTTCGGGGAAGAAAAAAAAAATTCATAAATAAATTGTCGTAACTTGTTTAACTTTATAAATATCGGATATAAGTTAAGAAGAAGAAATTTTATTTTTCTATTCTACTTATCAAAAATTGTGTTATTCAAACCTAAAAACATGAAATATACTCGGACTTCTTATTTTTGAATAATTATTTCCTTAACACAACTATAGATAATTTGTTTCTGCTATACAAAATGGCTTCCATCAACAAAGTGAAAGTAATGGTCGTTGGTGATTCGGGTAAGTTTAAAGTTTGAAAAGTATCATAATGTTCAAGTTGGGTGTAATTTCTTTTTTTCTTTCACTTTTAAATAATTTACACAACGGATTCGGAATATGAATCATGCACTTATCCTACGAATCTTATTTTTAATACCTGTAGAAGTATCTAAACTAAAGCCTAATAATCTTAAACAAGTAGCACCCTCTCCGTTGGTATCTAAGTAAATGTTAAACCATATTTTGATTAATAGTGCTGTGTTTTACAAATATAAAGTATGATAAATCATGTTTATTAAAGTATGCCTTAAATATTTGATCATTTTTGTAATTATTTATGGTATGTTATTCGTTAAAAATACAGGCATACATATGAAATTGTTCCATTTGCACTTTGAAGATGTAACTTTTAATAAGTGAATAACTTTTGTTATTAAAATGTATAACTTATCAGTAAAAAGCAAAGCGTGTTCATAGCAAAAAAGAAATCTATTGATAAAAGATAATACCCAAAATTCCTATATTTCTAAAAGCTTAACTGAAATGACAAATCTACAGGAATCACATTACTTAAAGCACATAATCTAATAATATTGGAATATACAGTGCTAACAGCTTGACTGACCTACATTATACATAACAAAAGCTTAACATATATATTTAGGACTGACCCCAAATACCTTAAGCTGGCTGAACCTTGTAAGATATTATTGGGATTACAACTAAAAATATTAACAACGAGGGTGCCCTACCGATGAAACAATGCATTCTGAACTTTACCAGTGAAAACATGAGAACAGTATATTTAATTAGCTATACTCATTAACAGATTAATTTTTAGTTTCACCCTTGACTAGGTAGTTTGCTCTGATCAGAAGTTAGTAAAATATTAAGAGCAATAATAAAACTTAAAACATAATAAATGATAATAATAAAAATGCCTTCAAATCCAGCTCTTATAATACAAATATTTATCAAACCTGTTATTGCATCAACCACATTTGAAGGCATTTCCATTCCTATGTTCAACCACCTGTTATGGAAAATAAAACTGCCTTAGTTGAAGATGATTCCTACCCTGCCAAAATTTATATTTGTATCAATTCTGTTAACAGTAATAAACATCTCAATCACATCCCATCCATCTGTTCTTTTTTCGAGAGATTCTGACACACCCTTGTGAGACAAATTTTCCATCTGAGCATTAAGTTGAAAAGTCGCATAACATTTTACTGTCTTAAAATTGTTTTATAAAATGCTTAATGTAATATGTTTATTCCTAAGTTATTCCATCAATTTGCTTATACCACAATAATTACAACTGTAAGGACAAGCAGTAATAAAGTGTATATTGTATGAAACAATGGCCCTTAAAAATATAATTAACTCTATTGCTCATTCTTTCATACCATAAAATGGTTAAGGATTAAACCAACTTTTCGACATTCACTGGCCAACTTACATAAGGATGTCATATTTTAAAAAATATGACAGTCATTTAACATTAGGAATGAGTATTAGTCCATTTTTTATGATTATATTTGATATTTTTTGTTTTTTCTCTGGTAGGGGTAGGTAAATCAGCATTTGTCCATCTTGTCTGTCATAGCCAACCCATCACCAACCCATCTTGGACTATAGGCTGTTCCGTTGATATTAAGGTTGGCAAAATAAAACATTTCAGTCGTTTTGTTTTGAGACAGTGTTTGTATGTTTTATTGAAATTAAGGAAAAAAAATTATCTTAATGCAATATTATTATGATGTATGTGCATTTGTGTATTATCACAGATTTAGTTATTGTTTATGCTAATAAACAATGATCTTA